ACAACGTCAAAAGTTAGCTCTTTGAAAAGATAAACACCATTGATAAATGACTAGCTATAATCATTAAGAGACCACATAAATCATTAATATCAGGAATGAAATTGGGGCTATAACTACAGACCCAATAGACAGTAAAAAGATAATAAGAAAATACTACTACTTTATGCCAATAAGCTTGAAAAATTAGATAAAATGAGAAAATTCCTTAAAAATAACAATTTGGGGGCTGGGGTTGTGACTCCATGGTAGAGTGCTCGCCTAGCATGTGTGAGGTATTGGGTTCGATCCTCAGCACCAATAAAAAAATAAGTCTATAAAATAAATAAAAATATATTGAAAAAATAATAATTTGTCATAACTGAGATGAAACAATTTATCATGACAGGATGAAAGAAAATATCCAATTATACACACACATTACTTAGTGATGATTTTAGACTTACAAAAAAGTTGCACATTAGAACAGTGTTCTTCCACCTTTTTTTTTTTTAAGAGAGAGAGAGAGAATTTTTTAATATTTATTTCCTTTTTAGTTTTTGGCAACACAACATCTTTGTTTGTATGTGGTGCTAAGGATCGAACCTGGGCGGCACGCATGCCAGGCGAGCGCGCTACCGCTTGAGCCACATCCCCAGCTCCTGTGTTCTTCCACCTTTATCCAGGACCCCTCTGTCCAGCATTCGTTCAAACTTCAGCTTGATATTGGGAAACTCCCTGAAGTACTCTAAGCCTTAGCTTGCCCATCAGTAGAGTGGGAATAAGGGGACCCAATTCACCAGGTTGCCATGAAGACCACGTGGAAACTTGTGAAGTGCTTCGCACAGGGATTGGCATGGAATGGATGGGATGGGCGCTTGGGAATGTGTGTTCCCTTCTTATGTTATACCTGCATGAAAGACCATCAGAGTCAGTGTTGGCAATGGCCCCTTACCTGTGTGCCTACTGTGTGCTGAGGCTTGTTAGGCACTTGATTATTTTGAAATCTCATAATGACTTTTTTTTTTCTTTTTTCTTTTTGGTACTGGGGATTGAACCAGGGCACGTAACCACTGAACCACATCCCCAGAAAGAAAAATATATTTATATTTTATTTAGAGACAGGGTGTCACTAAGTTGCTGAGGCTAGCTTTGAACTCGATCCTCCTGCCTCAGCCTCCTGAGCCACTGGGATTACAGGCGTGCACCACCGTGCCCGCTGATAAGCATTTTTTATTCCATTACCTAGATGAGGAAGCTGAGAGTTGCAGGTCCACGCTGGCAGCATGGAGGGAGCGAGGCTCGCCCAGCCAGGTCTGACTTCAAGGATTGCCTACTTCCACCATCTGTCCCTTCCTGAGGCGTTTGAACTTCTACGCACAATGACATTTGTGGATTTTCAAAGCTGTCCTCCTTTTGACAGATATTAACTGATGTTTGGTCTTTAATTATGGCACAGTGAAATCTATCTTTCTCCAGGCTTTATCTTCTGAACTGGGAGGGTTTTCTGGGGGAGGTTTCTTCTGGCTGTCCTGACATCATGCACAAGCAGTCTCTTCAGTGTTTGCCGCAGGACTGCAAGGTCTCGTTGGCTAGAGCTCCAGATACAATGTGAGAGCATAATGTAGCGCCTGGCACAGGGCCGCGCCTGGCACGGGGCCATGCCTTGAGTGGGCACTCAGTAAATATTTGTGTAATGAATGAATGGGATGAAGTCACTGCTCTCCTGCTGAATGATCCCTCCCACCCCCTCCCCGCTGTCCCTCGTCTGTTACCCTGGGTTAGCCTAACATGCTGGGCTTTGTTCCTGGGGCCCCTCGTGGGTGTTTGGGGGCTGATGACATTTACAGCCACAGATACAAGTGGGATAGAGGAGGTAAGAGGAGAAGATCTGCAAACAAGATTCAGCCATAGGGAGGCAAACCAGTAAGAAGTCCCTGAACCCCAAAAGGGTGGACAGCATTAGCAGGGCTGCCAAGAGGGACCCAGAGCACCCTGCGGGACCCCTCCTGAGTGGCTGGTTCTCCCCCCGGATGCCACCTCTGGTCTAGGCTTAAGCCCAGATTTCTACAAATCTTCCCCTGTTGCTTCACATTCCTGAGCTACCCGGAGAATATGAGTGAATCCGAGAGCTCCTCCCAGGACACGGCAAGGGGTCCTGCCAAAAAGCCTTTGGAACTATTTTCTTTGTGCTGATCCCCCTCCCACCACCGCCAAAACCAATCCTCCAGCATTCCAGAATATTCTTCTGAAAGTTAAATAGGAAATAGAAGGAACAGAACAGTTGATAGGTCCATCCAATTAGCTTATATTCACAGACCGTCTACTTTTAGACAGCTGGCCAAGTTTCAACTGTGGAGAGCCTGCCTCAGTCTCTGCAGATCCAGGGTGGTCGAGGACAGAGACAAAAGAGACATCAGACCTTATGCCAGCCCAGAGAGCAAAGCACTAAACAGAAGGCAGTCATAGGGTAACACATTAAGGTTAGTAAGTAATAACAACAAATCCCTGCTGAAACTTAGAAACATTTGAAATTTAAAATATAAAATTCCTGAAATCCTATAATCACAGATTTGATATAAGTAATATTACTGCACCCCAATAGTGAAAGAGGGCTAAGGTCTCTTGTGGGAGCAGCATTCTGGGAGGGGCCAAATTTGCATACCTTGGGACATCACTCGATCATGGCCTGCATCAGTTCGCTCTGATGCAGGAAGCCAAGAGTCTCCTCCAACTTCATGACTGTAGGAAAGGCAGGAGAAGAGAAAAGGAGAATTATCTCCACCAATGTCTGGCTCCCAGGGGATAGCGCTGGACCTTCCAGTGGAGCTTTCCATGTAAATACAAGATGGGGTAAAACACAAACAGCCACACTGACCAGAATGGAACCTTTCATTCACAGAGGGAGAGTACTGCCAGGAGGGGGATACTGGGCTTTTGGCATGGATGGCATACACATGGGAGAAGGAGGCTGAAAACCACAGTCTCCACAGGCTGCCTTGGATGGGACCATCGCTGTCCCCTTCTCTCCATCTGGACAGGGAGAAGCAGTGTTCTGACCAGGATTCTCTTCAGGAATGCAAGACAAGGGAACACAAGCTCTGCTCTGCTTCCCCGAACAGGGACAGGAAGGAGAAGCTCAGCAGATTTCCTGGGTAGCCAAGGATCCGGTGGCCAGCCTGTACCAGTGAGGTTCTGATTGGTTCCCGAGGACAGGCTATGGGCTGAATGTTTGTGGTCCCCACCCCCACCACCATTCCATATGTTGAAAATCAAATCCCCAACATGATGGTATTAGGAGGTTGGGCTTCTGGGAGATGATTAGTGCTATGGTCCCCGAAGTCCCTATGTTCACTCAGGACTGTTCAGAGGGGAGATGATGGGATCACAAGAGCTATGACCTGATCAGTCCATCCTAGTTTGAATGGACCCGATGTTAACTCAAGGCACGAGGGTCATGGCAGGAGGAGATGGATCGCTGGGGGTGTGCCCTCGAAGGTTCATTTCCCTACGGTCCCCTCCCCTTTCTCTCTCTGCTTTCTGGTCACCATGAGTGGGGCAGCTTTTCCTGTTTCCCACCCTTTCGCCATGATGTTCTGCCTCACCCCTGGGCCAGAGCAATGGAGTCAGCCTACCAAGGACTAAATCCCCGAAAATGAGAGCCAAAATAAACTTGCCCTCCTCTGAGTTGTTCTTGTCAGGTATTTTGGACGCAGCAATGCAAAGCTGACTAACAGGTCACAAGGGCTCCACCTTTATGAGTGGGGTTAGTGCCGTCTGCTTATAAAAGGGACCCCAGAGAGCTCCTCTGCCTATTCCACCAGGCGAGGATGCCACAAGAAGCTGCCTCTATGGAGCCAGGAAGTGGCCCTCCCCAGCGCAGGACTTTGCCATGCCTTGCTTTTGGACTCCCCAGCCTAGAGAACTGAGAGAAATACCAAGACCAGGAGAGGATGCCAACCTTCCTTTCCGGCTGCCAGTGGGAAATCTTCTGAACCCCTTCCTTGAGCTCTTGAGCTCCATGAAATGTGGAGGAGGAGACAGATTCAGGCCTGGCCAGACTTGGTATACACCACAAGTGGCATCCTGGGTTGCCTTCTTCCCTAAGAGCTAAATCATGTTTTCTAGGAGCGCAAGTGGGAGGCATCTGGTCCCCCCTCAGCTCTTGGGTGCAGGGGACCTGGGACTGCTCCTGCCAGCCCTTCCCAGCTGTTTCCTTTTCCGCCTTCACAAGGTTCTAGAACCTGATTTCGATTTAAACTATTTCCCCTTTCCTTGGGAGATCAGTGGAAACCAGGAGAAGGCTGTAGATTCTTAGTTTCTCTGGGTGCCCTTAAATCCTCAGCGGTGTCATTTAGGGAATTCTAGACTCCTCTGGGTTGGAGAGCTTATTCTAACCTATGCCTCGTTTAGGAAGCCCATCACCTGTCCTCAGAGTGTCGCGGAGAAAGGTGTCCTTGTTGGAGCTGTGAAGTTGGACCGACTTAGATTTGGATCTTCACTCTGCTCCCTGTCCCTGGGTGATATCAGCCTCTGTCTCCCCGATTGGGAAATGAGGATGGTCTCGCGTGGACCAGCCCAGGATGGGCTACTGGTCTCCGGCACGTGTGCGGGACCCCGGCTGCCCTTTCCCGCGAAGGCCCTGAGGATGCCCGCGCTCGTCCTCGGCGTCGCGCCCGGCCTCCTCGGGGCGCCGCGGCTTGGGCGCGC